AATCCTGGCACACACAACCAAAATGTTTTCAAGGAAAAGACTGGAAAACAAGACTGTTCAATTTCAAAAAGATAAATTCATGAGTTACATTGGACGGATCAAGAATTTTCAAACCGCCTAAACCAATCAAACTAAGACCAAATCTGCAGTTTTAAAAGTTCACCTGATTGTTTTGATTTTAGAAACTTAGATACCAAAATCCTGATGTACTAGCTTTGTCCAAAACAGTGTCAATAAGGTATCAAGAGGTATTTCCAAATATAATACTCAAAAGAACTGGCACATTAAGCCTAATTGATTAGAATACAAAATTTATGTTCCTAATTTGGAAACATACTATTCATTGGGAGATAACTTGATGGAACAAAGTGCATGTGTCTTACTATCAGAGGTGGATTCAAAATTTAAACTTTATGAGTTCAACCTTTAAAGTTATTAGCATTGAACCTATTATTTATTTTTATAACTATGGGTTCATATATATTATTTGTGGTGATTTTAGTTGATTTTACACATAAATTTATGCTCCATGTCAAAAGTTATGGGTTCCATTCAGGGACGAAGCTACGTTGGCCTAAGGGTGGTCAACTGACGACCCTTCGCCGAAAAATTATATTACGTATAAGGTAAAATATTACTTTTTATTGATTAAAAATAGACTTTGAACACCCTTACATAGCCCACTAGCAAAAGGTGTTCAAAATTTGAACACCCTTATTAAATATCCTGGCTTCGCCACTGGTTCCATTGAACCCATAGAGATAATGATACATTTGCCCCAGCTTACTATTCAAGCTAATGTCAACGGAAGGTGACAAACAAAACCGAAAAGAGCTCGGCACTCAAGGATGTGACTAGGGGTGGCAAACGGGTGGGTCGAGTCGGATATGGGATGGGTCGAAAAACGGGTAACGAAAAAAACGGATAAATTATCCGAGCCGACCCATATTTGGATAACAAATGGGTTAACCGGTGGATGTTATCTAGGGCTTCATGAATATGATCACTTTCGGGAGAATTCCTAGTCTCCCAAACTTGAGGAACTCCCAATTTGAGGTTTTACAAATGTAAAAGTTAAACCCATTAATTATCTATTGGTTATCCAGTTTCTAAATTGATAATATGGTTCTTATCCATATTTGACCCGTTTTTAAAAAGTTCATTATCCAACCTATTTTTTTGGTAGATAATATGGGTGGTTAACTGTTTTCTTTTAACCATTTTGCCACCACTAGGTGTGACTCGACGGTTAATGAAGCAGGTGCAAACCTTGGAGACTAGAGCTCTAATAAAATACAAGCACAGACAAAAACAAACTAGTGATTATTCCAAGTTCCAATGCCTAAGCTTCGGCAGACAGAGTTACAGGTACCCAGTGGCAACAATCAGGCGCGGGCAAGCTGGCCCAAATACCACCATTTAAAAAGAAAAATCGAAATAGTTCACCATTCTCAGTAGCATATTTTCACACGCTATATCTAGATGCTGATTAATACGTTAATTAGAAGAAAGATTACCTCTTGAAAAGGGAAGATAAGGTTTTGACTGGAATCCTGAAGTGGGAAATTCAAGTAGAAAGTCCCTGCCATGGCTGCTAGTTTTTAAGGAATAAGGAAAGTTGAGGTTGGACATGGAGTCTTCTACGCCTTAAGTGTGTGCTTCGTTTCAAGTTGGCAGTTAAGTACGTTGGTGCACCCACAGAGACAGAGATAAGCCTTTGTGGGTGTGGCATATGACACATCCACATATTCTCTTTAAAATTATCCTCTCTGATTGCAATTTAGAGCTCCCCTGGGTCGGACACATGATTTGGGCCTTGCCCAGCTAGAGCCGACCCGGTTAAAGCCCATATAAACTACTAATTTTCCGTAAAAATAGCACGGGATAGTCAGTTTTCGGATTGATAATTGAAAAATAGCCAGCATTTGCAAAGTCATTGAAAAATAGCCGTATTTTGCTGCAACACGGAAAGTTCCAGCATAATATACTGGAAATTGGTGCACGTGTGTATGAACTCCAACACGTGGAAAGTTTCAGCATAATATATTGGAGATCGGAGCAGCTATGTATGAACTCCCAGCATATTATGCTGGACCAGTATATTATACTGAAACTCCAGTATATTATGCTGGAAGTCCAGTATATTTATACTGGAATTCCGGTATAATATACTGGAATTCCAGTATATTATGCTAGAATATTTTTCGGATTTTGAATAGTATTTTCGTTCAGATTTATCTTTACATGAAAAGTGGCTAAATTTCGACTACTTTTAAAATGTGACTATTTTTCAATTACCACTTGTAAATCAGCTATTTTTTAATTTCTCCCTAATTTTCGGGGTTCAATTTTCATTAGTGAGTTGGACATATTAATATTTGGATTTAGATACATACGCGTCATAAATTAAGTGGATATTCAACTTATTTTATATATATGATTTTCGAAACTTTTTTTGATATACAATTGTTCCACCGCTAAAATTGACTTCCTTTGTTTTAACTTAGGAAAATGCATAAATACTCCTCTTGAACTTGAGTCGGATTTCCAACTACACACTTAATCTTTGGGGGTCTTAGTAACCCCTCAATCTTTTTTTAAGTGAAATTATTACCACTTTTAGTGCTGACGTGGCAGAGAATGTGTGCTCGCTCTCTTGGAGGCGTGTGAATGGCTAAAATAAATTAAATAGATTAATTTATACACATGGCATTTTTTAATTGGAAACCTTACAATTAATTATGCTAAACTATCACATCATCTTAAGCACCTTCCCCTTTAAAGAGAAGCCGGAGCAACATATATCCTTCTCCGACCAGAACTCCTCGCCGGATTAAGACAGAAGAAGAGACAAAGCAGCATTCTGTGATTTACATCATTTGTCTTCTATTAACAATTACGGTCGATCAATGTCATGTTTCCTCCCATTCATCACCTCCTCCATTTAACAAATGCAACTCTCAGTGCTTTATGTAACATATCTTTCTTTTTTTCAATTTTTATGTAACAAAAGCAAATCATCTACCTAAGATGCAATGGGTTCTCGAGAAAATTCTCGATGCCGGAAAAAATGGAGTCCATATTTAGAGAACTCCGGCAAGTTTAAGCTAACCACTCACTCCGAAAATTCTCCTCAGATCTACCACCACCCATGCCCACCTTGTTAGACGTTAAAAGAAATCTAGTGATAAGAATATGTTGGTGTGGATTTTCTGTGTATTCCAATGATTGTTTGTACAGGTATAAATACAAGAGAATAAAGAAAATAATGAAATCCTATTTGTACACTTGTCTATTTTCTTACCATTCCCTACTATACAACAATAATATTCCCTTTTATCTAATTACACTACACGTATGAAAGATCTATCTAGAAGGTGCAAAATAAAATGCTTGACAACTGTGTAATCTATTATAAAATATCAATGGCCACTATTGAATCAATCAATTAATAGAAACGGTGATGATGCTTGATTATATATCTTGAATCTTTCAGACACTTCAAAGTGTTCAAAGTCTGACCAAAGTCAATCTTCATTTTTGCTCTGTGCTTCATCTTGTCTTCTTCTTTCAATGTTTGAGTCTTCTGTAAATCAAAATCACCTGGTAAACCATCTAAAATTCCTGTGCCAACCATCCATGATCTCTACACCATAATCTGCTTAATCAAAATTCTCTTCAAATCTCTCCTCCATCGGCATTGTCGTACCCAATAATTTTCTTTTTCAAGTTGAATAGCCATGATTTCTAATACTAATGGGAAAGCTGTAAAGATGTGGGTTAGAACTTGAACAGAAAGTGAAAAGAAAAGAAAAGGAAGGAGGGTCTTGATCGGAGCTTAAATTTCTCTTTGTGTTGTAAGATCTCCCGGTGAAAATTGAAAGTCAATAAAGAAACTAACGCATGTCAAAGAAGAAAGTGAAAAAGAAAGTAGAGAAAAAAAGTTTTAGTAATAAAATATATTTAAAAGCGCGTGCAAATCAACACCCCCATTCTCATCTGATTATTTGTGCCACGTCAGCACTGAAGGTGCTAATAATTTCACTTCAAAAAAGTTTAAGGGGGTAGTATGACCCCCTCAAAGATTATGTGTGTAGTTGAAAATTCTCACTCAAGTTCAACGGGGTACTTATGCATTTACCTTTTTAATTGTCTTAATTTGACTAAGTATGGAGTTTAAGAAAATAAGGAAGACTTTAAATCTTGGGGTCTTAAGCTAAACATGGGTATAATGTACCAAAATACCCTTAAATATTATGGTCTTAAATATATCATCTCAAAAGTTGGAGTTATAGAGTTACTAAATATATAAAAGAATATTATTTTTTAGGAAAAATACATAAGTTACTCTCCAAACTTGTCCAAAAAACTTTGTTACATACTCAAACTTTATTGGGCGTTCTCTTAATCCTTTATTCAATTGTTAAATGGCGTTCTCTTACCCCCTTAGTCAATTGTTAAATGCAACTTATAAATCGCAATTTCTAAATGAGACTTATTAATTGCAATTATTAATGCAACTTATAAATCGCAATACGACTCATTAATCTCAAAGTTCTTGTGGTAACTACATGTGACTGGTAAATCGCAATTCTACATGCGACTTATAGCTAAAAGCGACTTATAAGTCACAATTGCTAAAAGAACGAACCAGAAAGGTGTGTAAATGGTTCACTGTTTTGCTTTTGGTTGATGCTGGCCGGTTGTGAATGAAAAGTAGGGGGAGTGGGAGGGGGGAGGGAGGTGAGAGAGAAGGTGGAATGGAAAATGTTTGTGAAAAGCAAAGAAATTTAAAGTTTTTCTTACGAGGAAGCTGACTTGGAGCGTGTGCTCTTCCCCCCTGAGTTTAGTAGGAAGGTATTATTTCCACTAAAAATAAGAATAACGGGGTAACTGGACATTTACAAAGTTAAACTGTGTAATTAAATTTTTTGGACAAGTTAAAGGGAAAACTTATGTATTTTCAAAATTCACAACAATGAAGCTAGTAAGGTGATCAAATGGATCCAAAGGAGAAGATGGAGCCAAGCCCAGAAGGAAATAATTGCTGCTGTATGGGGTGTCATGCTGTATTACACCTGGCAAGCAAGGAACTGAAAAATATTCAGGAGAGTAAGTGTTAGCATAGACCTTGTAAATGAACAAATTAGGAAAGAGATTGTAGACAGACGGAAGATAGTGTATAGGGGAAAAAGAGATAGGAAAGTACAGTGTTGATTCAGAGACTATGTAAATAGATGTGTTGATATGCTTGGAGATCTAGAGTCTGAATTCGTTCAGACACTGGAGGCTCGGAGGATGTAAAAATTGTTTTTGGTTGTTATGGTAATATTCACATTTGTTACCAAAAAAAAAACTTATGTAATTTTTCTTCTTTTTTAAACAAACTAAACAAGAAAGTAAGACGCATAAATTATAACGAAAGGAATAGATCAACTACTGATTTTAAGCATAGTCGAGTGTATTTCGAACTTACCTTCTACTTTTATGTGCCACCCGTGTGCTTTGTGATCTATGTGATATTATGAACTGATAATTCAATGCATTATATTGCAGTTGCACCCATTATTATTTTTATCCACATGTAGCATAAGATTACTTGGAGAATGTTGTGAACTCTGCTTCCTCAAAATTTCCCAAGCTTTAACCATAAACTTATTTACATCACTATATAGTTAAAACTAACCGTGATAACATATAATGTTAATCCATAGTGGGCATTTGGACGTAAGAATTGCAAAATTTCGGGAAAAAAGGAAAAAAACATTCAAGTGAAAATGGTATTTGAAAATTAGAGTTGTATTTCGATATAAATATAATTTTGGGCTATTTTTGAATTTTTGTGAGTGATCTGAAGTGAAAATTTTAATATTTTGGAGTTTTAAATTTTCAAAAAATTCTGAAATCCATCTTCAAGTGAAAATCAAAAGTTTCATGGCCAAACATCGATTTCGAAAAAAAGTGAAATTTTTTTGAATAAAATGAATCCTTTTCTTTTATGGCCAAACAGGCCCTAATTAATTTGTGTCATGGCCAAGCGTGATATTTTTTTTTCTTTTAACGCTGATTAAATAATATTGTAATTCTTTTATTTATTTTTTCCTCTTCCCAACAATATATATATCAGCTCATCTGTTCATTGCCATTACCATGGGCCTATATACGCATTTTCAAAACCTTTGTTTGACTTTGCTTACAAATTTTCAACTTCCTTTCATCTTACTTTTGACAAGCAAACCCAACAATTTAATAGTGGGTCTTTATTACTTTATTAAAAAACTCATCAAAATTCATTTTCAGAATCGTCTTTTGCTTGAGCAGTAGTCAACATTTCACACGACCATTATGATTCATTTTCCGACTTCATTTTTGGCCATACATTTTGGCAACGTTTTTTCAAATCTTTTTTGAAAACATTGTTTGTTTATAAATTAATGATCTATTTTTGAAAAATTTCTGAAATTATTTTTTAAGTTCCCAAAGTCTAGTTTAGGGTAGATTTTGGGTGAAACTTGTTCTCCCACGCACTCTCAAAACTTTAAAAAAAATTCAAATAAAATGCATGTCCAAACATAATTTCCACTTCCAAAAATTATTTTTCAAAACTATTTCAAAAATTATTTTTTCAAGTTTCAACTAAATCTATGTCCAAACGCTAGCTTAATGTATTTCCTTTTCTCTAACTACGAATACAACTATTACTGACCTGGTGACAACACTTCTCTTTTTGGAGTTTTTATCGGCTCACGTGTCTGTCACGTGAATATTGCGATGGGTATATTTTATTTATTTTTTTTGGTAAGAGGGAAAATCCGTAACCGCTACAATCTCTATCACAGCCTCTGCCCTTTGGGTGAGCACTTTGTGCGCACTGGGTTAACCCCCTGTGTAATAGCCTGTAAATCACATAAAGAATGTAAATTGCATAGGCAAACCCTGTGCGACAGACTCAACCCAGAAGGCGTAGAGGTGGCATCTAAACTGCAAGCAGAGGCCGTCTGCCTCAATGAAAAGAATATGAGACATTTGTCCGGAAATGTTAAACTCAAGAGTTTGGGATATAGTTTGTTCAGTCTGCCTTAAGAGGGAGGTTGAGAAGTTCATTCTGAAGCTTACCGTACTTTGGACATATTTCAGTTGGATCAAGAAGACTACACCAGCGGAACATGAGAAGAGGTTGTTCGGCTATGCAAGTCATTTGGACTGCTGGTTGCCTGGCACCAGACATTGCCTGAGATTAGAGGCATAATATTCATAAGTTAGTTGTATTCAGATTGTTGTACAGGGGCTATGTTCTTTAAATTCTGATAATAATCTATATCTTGAATTAGGTATGTATAGGGCCGGATAGATGAACCAGATTCAATTTTTGATGCTAGATGATGCATTATATCCACTGATAAATTGTATGGCTAGTTTGGACAGCTCCCTTATTCTGCCTTGGTAATATTTCAACTTAAGCTAACTCAGAACCTGTTAACCATAAGTCGTTTTGATTGTCCATAACGCAAAGTTTTTCTGGATTTTGAGGTGGGGTGTGTTGAATACATCCTTATACCAGGTTAATAAAATATTGTTCCTATTTCTGAATATGATAAGATCCGTTGTTCTTCCTGAGCCGATCTATCGGAAACAACTTCTTTGGCCCATCGGAGTATTGTTTTCTGAAATTTGGTACCACATTTATAAAAAAATAAAAGATAAAGGGGTACATCATGATTAAGGGATTAGAAAGGCTAACGGAAAAAAATGCACAGAGAATATATGCCTTCCAATCAACTTACAAAATAGGACAAGTAATAATATAACATTTTGTCATGTTCAAATTTGTTGAGTTTGGTCATTGAGTCATGATTCATCTCATCTGCCGATTCTGTCATAAATTCATTGAGACACACTTTATCCTTTTCACAAATAACGTCACCGATTAGTAAAGTGCGCAAATCAATTTTTCTTTTGAATTGAACAATCCAACATCTTTTTGGGCCCTCCTCCTAACAACCAACCAAAATGTGAGAAAAGTTTCTGAAGCCTCAAACATAACATTCTGCAGGTGTTGCCACATTTCTAACTCTAATAAGACTTGTTATTAGGATCCTCCAAAGAAATGGAAGAAATAAAATTACAGGATGTACAATTACATCATACAGCAGTAGCAAAACAAGCTAGAGTTTTTTAATCCGAGGATCATTGGTCCCACTAATTCCAACTCACACTGGTTAGGGGGTAAAGCGCTCCCTGCCATTCTACCTTCTCAAGGTTTGAATTCATGATTTTTGGTTAAGTAGGGAAAGATCCCAACCATTAGTGGTGAATTTCCACGTTTTCATCATCAGGCAAGTGAAAGCCCTTCTGTTTAAATTGATCTCATATGTTCCCTTTTTCATCAAACAATTTGGAAAAATATACGGATCTTTGGTGATAGTCTTCTCAGAGGGAATTGGAATCTTGATTCCACATTTAAATTTGCAGATCACTCTTCTTGTCTTTCTTCGTTCACCTGCAAACTAGGTGATCTTGAAAACTTATTTGATTACACCGAAGATTTGCTTCAACTACCACATAATCAACAAGCCATTTCACTACACGGCGATGAATTATTAGAGGGGTACATCAAGGTATTAGACGTTTGTGCCACCACTAAAGATCTCTTATCGAATGAAAAGCAAAATATTCTTTCAGCTCTTCATAGGAGACGGAATATGGATGAAATTTCTGGCTATCTAACCTCTAGAAGGAAGTCCAAAAAGATCCTTAAAAGTTTGAAGAGTATGATAAAGGAAAACCCTTGCGCATTAAACAAGCCTGAACCATTGGCTGTTGTTGGAGAATTGCAGGAGGTCCAGTCAGTCACCTTAGGCCTATTTAAGTCCTTGTTGTTGTATGTCAATGGAACCGGATCTCAATCAAGTAGTTGGTCATTGTTGTCCAAGATTATGCCCTCGAAAAATGAGGAATTAAAAGCCAATGAATTTGCCAATGTTGATGCAGATTTGTGCTCACTTCTCAGTCAAAATAAGACTGGCCAATACGAAGAATTGCAGAATCAGCTGAAAGAGATGGAGCCAACCATTGAGGTTCTTGAAGATGGGCTCCAATGCTTCTTCAGGCGCTTAATCAAAACTAGAGTATCTCTCCTCAACATTTTGATGAATAGATGATACTAGTCTTAGTGTACGTGCGTTGTACGTGTACCTAACGTCAATCAGTACAATATATGTACAGAAAGAACATGTAAATTGGGTTTTAAAATATGTGTATAGAGTCAATTAGTAAAGGACATACAAAGAATTTTAAAATGACTACACTAAATTAATATTAACAATAAGTAACTTAATATATAGAAAAATATAAGGAGTTATCATTTGTTAAAGTGAGTACGAAAAGAATATTAATAACAATTCACTTAGTATTATCTTAATTTGTTTTATCCTTATTGCATAAAGTTTGCATTTGCACCAATTTGGCTTTTAATACAATATTAATTTTAGGGTACGTGCGTTGCACGTGTATATTACGTCTTGTAGTATATATTTTTAAAAATTACATAAGTATTATTAAAGCATGTTTATGAAGTATATATAAATATTGAAGGCTAAAAAATGCAAGACTAATTAGTAAAATGTGAATTCAATATTAAGTGCTATGCTATCAGAACTTGTTAAATATCATTTACTATGATATAAAAGAGTTAAAACAAAGTAATTAACTTGTACCTTTTGTTTTCGTAAAATATTTAACCTTAATTTAATATAATGACTAAAAGCTAATATGAAAAAAATGAAATATAACATGGAAATGTTATTAGCACTCCGTCAAGAGTCAATAAATGTTAGAGTCCATCGCATGTCTTATTTGTTTAATTTTCTTTAAAAATGATATAAGGTAACCGTACCCATATAAAACATATATAGTTTTGATAGCTACCTATAATTTCATAGGGAACTGAATCTTTTTTCTTCTTCAGACCTATAGGATCTGAAATTTTGGACTGCCACAACCTAACTTTACACCCGAAGGTCTGAAATTTTAATATCAAAATTTTGGACAAAAAAGTTATAACAAATCCTCTCATGTTCAAAACATGAAAATGTGTATAACCTTTATATGTGTAGCTCGAACTAACGTGTTTGTTTTAAAAAAAAAATTTAAGAAGTTTTTGTTATTTTTTTAAAAAATAAATAAAATGCTTCCATATTATTCAGTGAAAGATGTTTCTTTCAATCTAAAAACACTTAAAAATTTTGCCAAATAATTTTAATTACCCCAAATTAAAAAAGAGTTTTGCTCGCTTAACACACAATGTCTTAAGAAGTTGTTGTGTTCGGATGTCTCAAAGAAGACTATCAACAAAAGGTCTGAAATCTTAATATAAAAAACCAAAAAAATTAAAACCATTCATCGACAAAATGCCAGGAGTAATTAGGAAAGATTTTTTTTTAAATATCTAGCACCTCAAACTATTATCTATTATGGGAAAATATTAAGAGTGAGAAAGGAAAATAAATCGGCAAAAATGAAGTGTTATGACAACGAACACTTACCCCAAGTTGTTTTCACTATTGAAAAACGAGATGTAACATAAAAAAATAAACATGACATGTTGTTACTAACAAATTCTGTTGCAAATCATTCTAAATACAACAAAGAAGAATATAATCATAGGGGTACAAATACCAGATATAAGTTTAAAAAGCTGCTAAAACACTGGTAAATAATTTTTTGCAGTGATAATCTAGCCTCTTTGTCCTTTAGTATCTCGCCAATTTCTCTTTCAACAATCTTTAGTATAATTTTATTTTTTATTGTCAAGAATTTTTCTTCTTCTATATACACGCTGGCTAAAAATCGAGCCTTAGGGACATCAGTTTGGCATTCAAGTCTAATAGAAAATAATCATCTAGCTCCTCTGAATACCTATTTTTCATAGCACAACTACATTGTTACCCAATATATTTCCACCTTTTTTGTAGTCATGAACAAATAATTACTACACGTATCTGTTTGGACATTAAAGAACATAATTAGTTTGTTTTCAAGACACAATAAATTATCAACGACAAATCTAAAATAAAATGCAAAAAGACAAAAATAAAATCAAAACACATTAGATATACTTTAAAAGTAAAAGATTTGAGGAACGATGAAGTACCTACACGTGAAGGCGAATTGGAATATGAACAGAGGGGGAAACCCTCAAAAAAAGACTGAACGCAATCATGCAACTAACTCAGCAACTTTAAAATATAAAAAAAAAACTCCTAGACCTAAAAGGAGTTGAAAAGTTAAGGAAATTTTGACCTAAAATATTTACGACGTTGTGTTTAATCAATAGATGTATAGCATTAATTGATGCCCATACAATTAACTACCATATCAACTTATACCTAAACTTCGATCTTTTTTTTCCTCTGTATAAAGAGCCCTTAACTAAAGTACTGGAGTACTCGAAACTTTTACCTTAAATATCTAGAGATTTAATCGGTTAAAATTGATATTAAGATTTCTTTTACAAATCTGTTAAATTACATAGATCAAATAAGGAAAAAAATAATACATAAAATTTATAGTTGATTTCAAATTCCGAAATATTAGAAAAATAATTATTTTTAAATAATGGAAAAATAATTAAATGATTATTTTGTCTAGTGTGAGATATATTTTAATGTTAAAGGATAAAAAAGGCAAACGACATTGCTTTTAATGTTATGAACAATAAAAAGAAGAGGAAGAATATTGCAGAGAAAAGTAGGGAGAGAATTCTTATTGAATTTTGGGATGAATTACAATAGAATAGAGCCCTCTATTTATAGGGAGATGGTGGCTTAGCCACCAAGCAACGAACCCTAGAAGACATTCACCATAAATATAATTGTATTTATAACACTCCCCCTTGAATGTCTATTCAACAGATAATGTGCCTCGTTAAAACCTTAACTAAAATAAAACCCAGTGGGAAAAAAATTCTAGAAAAGGAAAAAGAGTACACATATCTAACAATACGCCTTTGGTTGCCTCGTTAAAAACCTTGCAAGGAAAACCCAGTGGGACAAAACCTTGTAAGGGAAAAAGAGTACAACGCGTATTAACTCCCCCTGATGAGAGCATCAATTCACATCCTTAAGCATTTGCATTCCAATCTTGTGCACCATCTTCAAAAGATCGTTGATAGATATTTGATAAACAATATCAGCCATATTAACTTCAACAAATTTGTTTCACCTTGAAATCATCATCTCTGATAGATGTATTGTCTTCATATGATCTTGTTGTAATCGTTAGTTCAATATCTTCACATAGAGGTGAAAACTCTTGCTATCATATTATCATGCCTATAGTTATAGCAAGATATATTTGTGCACAAATTGCACTAAGGAAGTGGTACTTCAAGATCAAGAATTGTATATGCTTCAAGCAGCTTAAATCCTTCATGGATTGTCATATAAATTAAGTCAAAGCCATATAGTAAACTTTAGATGCATATCAAGTTTTCATGTCATGCTAGACATATATGATATCGAAAACTGATTGCACATACCATTGACTTTATACCTTCAAGTGTTTGGATTGTAGGTCCAAAACAACATGTCTTTCATATGAAACCAAATTCTACTTGAATTGTCTCTCTTCTATTTGGCCAATATTTTTTGTGTCTATATTCGACAGACTTAAGATCCTCATCTATACTTAGTGCTATCATAGATATCGTCGACGAACATTTTATATCGGTTTCAACCTCCTTATTTTTCATAAAGACATAACTCGGAGATCTCTTCATTCATATATTCAGGTACCTGAATCTCTCATGAGATTTTATGATGTGTTATGTCATGTGATCTTCTAGATCACTTGCCTCCTTATTATGATCATTTTGTCATCTTCTTTATCAAGAAGTTTATTTGAAACCGATTTGTCTATATGCTTTAAGCGTACTATAGACTTTGTCCTTCTAGGACTTAATAAGAGCATTTGCAATGAGAATATAGTTACTTTCTTTGGGTCAGCAAATGCGTCTGGCATGCTTTGCAATATATTGCAAATGAATTATCTTTTTATGAACTTCAAGTTCATATTATTTTATTCGAGGATCTAGATGTAAAAATGATAATTCATTCCGCGTAACTTTTTCTCAAATGTTATCATCTCTCCCCATCATGTTAGAAAAACTAACTTGCTTCATCATCTTTGTGCGTTTGGTGTTAATCAAGATATACACCGCACATCAATAATAATAATAATAAGATGGAATTATTTGGTTCCTGACCCTGAACCACTTGTGAGGGGAGAAAATAATATACTTTCGTATATAACGTATATCAAACTGATATAGATAACTTTGTTCTCATAAGCAATTGTTTAGCTATTAAGTAGAGGCACTTATTAAATTATTTTGCTAAACCAACTGTGATGTAAACCAACTTATCAAGATGAACTTCTTGAATAGAAAATCTGGAAATTATGCTCGAAATTAAATTACTGAGCAAGTTACCTCGCAAACACCATGTTGCGGGTTAATAATAATCGCACATGTAACCATCTCATAGATGCATCTTATGTGGTATACATGGCAAGTGAATGGGCCCATATTCACCTTTTGATATTTCCAGCATTCATGGGATTCATCCCGAATTTTTAGTCGGTATTATTAATTAATGAGTAACAAGCAACATATAGAGAATTCATAAAGAACTTTCTA